TGTGTGCAGAGTAGAACTGCTCCATAGGGTTTCCAAGGCTGTGAGCTTTCGGAGACAGATCGCCTGGACTTTCTTACCAGGCGGACATGGGTGCAAGCTTTTTTATTTAACAGAAGGCCTTCAGAAGTGGATGGTAGAGAACGGTGGGGACGGCTGGGTGGTGGAAGAAAACAAGACAATGGTGCCCGACGCCCCTGCACAGACCTGCTTCGTGACCTCCTTCAGGTGACTGCCTCTGCCCCCAGGGCCAGGGCCTTTGTGGGGAGGAGCTGCCTGTTCTCATTGCCCCGGCTTCCACCCCCTTCCTAGCTGGTGCGGCAAGAAGCAGATCTTGGATCTGGAGGAGGAGGGTCTGTGGCCAGAACTGCTGGATAGTGGCAAGATCGACATTCGTGTTTCTGACTGGTGAGCGCGGTGATTTTCCTTTGCTAAGCACTGACCTCATGAGCCGAGAACTTTGCCAGGGTGACTTAATTTGGGCTGACCGACAACCCCCTCCAAAGAGACTGAAGTGGCTTAATCTCAGTCACACCTCTAGTCATTAGCAGAGTGCACATCCTGAACCTCTCCCCTGACTCCCAAAAGGAGCACAGATTTGGGGATGGCAGACTGGAACCAATATGGAGACCTTGGGCCCAACTCAGTCTTTTCTGTGAATGAGATGCTGTTTGCCTCGTTGCTGTTGTTATGTGCCATTGAGGCGATTTTCAACTCCTAGCGACCCCGTGTGACAGCAGAAATGCCCCATAGGATTTCCTATGAGTCGGAATCAACTGGACGGCAACTGCTTTGGTTTTTTGGTTTTTGAAATCTTCACAGGAGCAGATCACCAGCTCTTTTCTCTGACCAGGTCTTTCTCTGCAGAGCCGCTGGTGGGTTTGAACCTCCAACCTTTCAGTTAGCAGCTGAGCACTTACCCATTGTGCCACCAGGGCTCCTATGCTCTTTGCCTTGTTGTTGTTAGGTGCCATGGAGTCGGTTCTGACTCATAGCGACCCCGTGGACAACAGAACGAAACACTGCCCGGTCCTGCGCCATCCTCACAATCCACGTTATGCATGAGCCCACTGTTGCAGCCACTGTGTCAACCCATCTCGTGGAGGGTCTTCCTCTTTTTCGCTGACCCTCTACTTTACCAAGGAGGATGTCCTTCTCCACAGACTGGTCCCTCCTGATAACGCGTCCAAAGTACATGAGATAAAGTCTCGCCATCCTTGCTTCTAAGGAGCATTCTGGTTGTACTTCTTCCACGACAGATTTGTTCTTATCTTAGGAAGAGGCAGTATAGCAAAACTGGCTAAGAGCTGGGATATTTGAGCCAGACCACCTGGGTTCGAAGTCCATTTCTACAGCTGTGTGATCTTGGATAAGTCACTGTGTACCTCAGTTTCCTCATGTTTGCAGATTAAGGTTCTTCTAAAGACAGTTATTACCTCAAGTGCATCACAAGTGCTTTGGAAGCTTGAGCTGTGTTAGTGGCTTTTAAAAAACTTTCCTCTAATCCTGTAGGAAGGTAGATTTCAAGTCCTCAGATCTTTCAGAGCTTCATAGGACCCCTGGTGGCGCAGTGGTTAAGCACGTGGCTGCTAACTGATAGGTCAGCGGTTCGAACCCGCCAGCCGCTCTTCCGGAGAAAAATGCGGCATCTGCTTCCAGAAAGATTGGAAACCCTATGGGGTGGTTCTGCTCTGTCGTCTGGGGTCACTATGAGTTGGAATAGACTTGATGGCAGTGAGTTTGGTTTTTTACCATTGTTGGACATTGGATGTTGTTATTTTAAAAACTGTTCCTGGTTATCACATCACCAATTTATTTAGATTCAGTTGGATCCTTTTAAATGATATGAAAATTGGATGTGAAAACATCACCGTTACAAACATTGGAAATTACAAGCTTTACAACCATTGAAGTGTAAAATGAGAGATTTTAGTGGTCACCTTAATAACGTGGAAGGAAGTGTGTTGAAGAACACCGTGTCCAGCCCGTGCTTCTAAAGCCTTAATGTGCATTAAAGCAGCAGGGACCTTGTTAAAGTGCAGGTTCTGACTCACTGGGGTGCCATCACCTGCCAGTGACGCTGATGGTGCTGGTCCCAGGGCCACGCTTTTGAGCAGCGGGGCTTGGAGGTGGTGGCTCTGCACACGTGGGGAGGTGGCTCCGCACACGTGGGGAAGGCGTTCAGGTGGGGCAGGAAGACATCCACAGGGAGATGGGTGGCAAACCAGCCTTCAAGCCCGTATAAGCTCCCTTAGGCTGCTGTAATGGAGTCCCACAATTGGGTGGCTTATACTAACAGAAATTCATTGTCTCAGTTCTGGAGACTAGTCCAGAATCAGGGTATCAGTCGTGTTGATTACATCTCAGGGCTCTGAGGGACAATCTGTCCCATGCCTTTCTCCTAGCTTCTGGTGACAGATTACAGGTAGTCCCTGATTTACAATGGGGTTCTGTTCCAGCGACTCCACGGTTAAGTCGGTTCTGATCCAAGTCGAAGACCTTCTTTTTTTTTAGTTTTCATTATTATTGCCTTTTATTATCACCATCTTTATAAATCATAACGTTGAACATCTGGAAGTGAACATCTGAGAACGATAACATCAGCAAATGAAGCACTGCAGTGTTGTATATAGTACATATTACTAGGGATAAGGAAACGCTGGTGGCGCAGTGGTTAAGAGCTACGGCTGCTCACCAAAAGGTCAGCAGTTCACATCCACCAGTCGCTCCTTGGAAACTCTATGGGGCAGCTGTACTCTGTCCTTTAGGATAGCTATGTGGCAATAAGATATACCACAAAAAAAGCCAAAAACAGAAGGTCATAAGTGAGGTTCATTGTAACTCGAATACGTCATAAGTCGGGGACGACCCTGTATTTGCAGATTACTCCAATGTGCCACAGTCTTCCCTCTGTGTTCCTTCTCTTGTATAAGGACACCACGCATACTGGATTAGGATCCACCTTGCTCCAGTATGACCTCATGTTCACTTAACCGGTAACATCTTCAAAGACCCTATGTCCAAACAAGTCACGTTGATAGGAACGGGGGGTTAGGACTTCAACATAACCTCCTGGGGGACACAATTCAATCCATAACAAAGGCCTTCCTCCTTCCACAGGTGGGGAGCTCGGCACGACTGTGGCTGTCAGTATCTTCTTGTTGTCCAGCTCATAGATGCCAACCAGGCTGCCCTGGATAACTTCACTGCTGCCCCGGAGCCCATTCAACAGTGGAACAACAATGCCTGCTTTCAGGTGAGGCTCTGACAGGGACGTGGGAAGTGGATGTGGAGACCTGTTTGGAATATCTATTGCTATGTTAAAAATCACTCTCAAGCTCAGTGATTTAAAATTAATTTTCTCTCCCATGGTGCTGTGTGTCAGCGACCTAAGCAGGGCTCAGCCAGGCAGTCCTAGCTCTCGTCTGTCTGTGGCCGCCTTCAGACAGTGCCTGGAGTGAAGGGCAGAGCAGCAGGGCTTGAGGGGGAGTAAGATGGGGAAACTGAGGCAGCTGGTTGCTGGCCCAGTGTGTCTTTCTTTTTGTAGTCTCATGGCTTCTTCATGGGACCTTTGTGCCTGGGCTGGCTTGGGCTTCCTTACAGCATGGTGGCCTGAGGGCTGTCAGACTATTTACTTGGTGGTTCAGGGCTCCACCAGAAGAGTTCTAGAGACGTAGACAGAAGCTGCCTTGCCTTTCCTGACCTAGCCTTCAAGGCCATTTGGTGAAAGTCACTCAGTGCCACTCCTGCCACACTCTTGATTACAAGCAAACACACCCCGATTCAGGGGGAAGGGAATTAGACTCTTCCTCTTGATGAGGAGAGCCCTGGTAGCGCAGTGGTTAAGAGCTCAGCTGCTAACCCATAGGTCAGCAGTTCAAATCCACCAGGCGCTCTTTGGAAACCCTATGGGGCAGTTCTGCTCAGTCCTATAGGGTCACTATGAGTCGGAATCAACTCGATGGAACACGTTTGGTTTTAGTTTGGTTCTTAATGAGAGAGTGACAAGGTTCTAGAGGGGTGCATGGAACTGGATCTGTTTTGGGACCATCTTTGGAAAATGCCACCTGCCAGAAGGCCCCAACCTCAGCCTTTGAAGGGAAGGCTGTGGCAGAGTGGAGTTGACCCCCTTCCTCTACCTACAGGTCACCCATGTGTTCTCCAACATCAAGAAAGGTGTCCGCTTTGTGTCTTTCGAACACCGGGGCCAGGACACACAGTTCTGGGCTGGCCACTATGGAGCCCGTGTGACCAACTCCAGTGTGACCGTGTTGGTCCACCTGCCCTAGTCAAGGGCTGCCCTTCCTGCAAATCTGCTGACCGTGTCCTCCAGTCAGGCTGGGACTGTTGGCCAGATTCCCTCACTGATCAAGGGCTGACACCTCCCTCGCATCCTGGAAATAGCGGGGCTCAGTTCAGGGTCCTCCAGGCCCTGTATCCAGGTTCCAGAAACTGCTGGAAGAATATTCTTCTATCAGATCCACCTGCTGCTGCTTCAGGGTGGCCCCTGTGCTGCTGAGGGGGAGCCCCACAGGCGAGCGGAGGAGAAAGCAGGTCCAGGAGAGGGTTCCTCGCCTTCACCCCCTCCCCCACCCCAGAGGCCCTCTGAGATTCAGCCCCAAGCCCCTCTGCCGTGTCCCCTCTGTTTGCCTCTTGTCTCATTCTCTTTCTGCTTCAGTGGCTTTGCTCTATTGGTCCCTGCAGGGAAGCCCTCTCCTCATCTCTGAACTAGGATCTCATCCCAACGAGGGCTCCTGAAAGACCAGCCATCTTGGGTGGCGATCTCAACCTCCTGAGGATTCGAGCTGCAGGGCTAGGGTCAGGTCCTGCAGCTGAAAGTAGAGACCTCAAAAAACATGTGAAAAGAGATGATTCCCCCCACACTGACTTCTCAGAAAAACGAGGTGGCCTCCTGAGCCCAGTGCTGGTCCTCAAGGACCCCTGTGATTGTGTAGTTTTAAAAATTATTTTTCCTTTTGAAATTTTTTTCAAGCACTGAGAGAATAATATATCAACAACATGTATCTGTCAATCATATGGGATACATTTATTATTTTGCCAAAACTGCTTCAGATCTTTATTAAAAGGAATTTGGGGTTATAGACTTGGTTACTACTTGGTTCAGGGTAACAAGTGGTCCCAGCTGCAGAGGGGAAAATATAGAGGAAAACATCAACTAATACTTGTAGAAAGAATGGAAGAATTAGAACAATATCATTTCTCTAACCTTAATGAAATTCATTCAGTCACTGTCTTAGGCTGGGTTCTCTAGAGCAGCAAACCCAGTAAAGTGTATAAATATATATAGAGAGAAAGATTTATATCAAGGAAATGGCTCACGTGGTTGTAGAGGCTGGAATGTCCCAAGTCCGTGGGTCAGGATAGAGGCTTCTTCTGATTCACGTAGCCACAGGGGCTGACAAACCCAAGATCGGCAGGTCGGAGAGCAGTGCTGTTTCTCACAGGCTGTGAAGATCGATTAATCCCAAAATTGGCAGGCAAGACCTCAGATAAGCTGCTAGCTCAAGTCCCAAGAACCGGAGGTCAGACAAACAGGAGCCAGCTGCAGGATCCAGTACCAGCAAAAAGCCCAGAGCCTTGCTAGAATGTCCACTTATGTTCGATGCAGGCCACATGCCCAAGGAAACTTTCTTTCAACTGATTAGCTACTCACAGCAGATTCCATCATGGGAGTGATCACGTATCAAATCTCAACAGGGAAGTGATCACAACATTATACCACTGCTAAAATACTGAGAATCATGACCCAGCCAAGTTGACTTACAGTCTTAACCATCACAGTTACAGATTACAAAATTGATTCAATCACAGATTAAAAGCCTTAGGTAGGTGGTGAACAGGATGTAGGTATAGAATCAAAGTGACATCACATTTGTCTAGTCATGGGGGTGAAGTGGAAACATACACCGGCAGGATCAGGCTTTCTGCAGGTTGACCTCGTATCTGGGAACATGGATTTTGGGAGTGTCCCACCGTTTCCTTACTGTTAATGGCAGGGCTCACTGTGTCTACCTTGTTTGTGCAAACAGTATGGTTTGTGCTGAACACCTGATTTCCTACTGGGAGTCTGGAATTTTGGTATGTTCTAGGCAGAGAGTGCCTACGTGACCAGTATCCAGTGAAAACTTGGGTGCTGAGTCTCTTAATGAGCTTCCTCAGATGGAAACATCACACACACTCATTGTATTGTATTGCTGGGAGGAAAGTGCTCCATGACCCCACATGGAGGGAGAGAAGATAAGGCACCTATACATGGATTCCTCCAGACTCTATGTCTTTTTCCTTCATGATCCAGCTGTATGTTGTGGAGCCAAGGTCCAAGGTCGACAAGAAGGACATGATTTACACAGGCACTAGTTGGAATAACGCCTTACAAACCCTAGAGAAGTGACAGCTAAAGAGCAGTTCCATGTTGTGGGTGTTGGTACCCTTGGACAGTGGGGCTCATTCTGCAGCTGGCACAGGGAGATGGTCTGCATGCACCCCTCTTGTGCTGCAGGTAAAGGACCTGTTCCCTCCTCACTGGGAACAGATACAGTACCAGGACTGGCCAGGTGCCATATGATGCACACGCTTATATAGTAAGCAGTACGAAGAAGATTTACTGCGTACCCAGAATGGCGAAGGCGTTTCCCTGGTTCAGAAGAAGAAGAAAACGGGACAGAAGGAGGCTCAGTTCCCAGCCTCCATTGTCAGAGAATATTCTCGGCCCAAGGATTCCGATTTGGTGGCCAAGGTGAGGGTCAGAAGGCAGCGTAATAGATGGCTTTCCCAACATGTATCCTTACTATGTCACTAGAATAAATCTTAGCCATGAGTACAACTACATCACACTATATCCTGTGAGATCTGCTAGCAAATCTTCAAGTCTTGGGGACCAACGCAGTGGTGGCAGCAGTGGGATTTGCTAGACCAACCCTGACCCTGCTCACTAAAATACAACAATAGTGTTATTCAGGAAAAAGAGAGAGGCAAGGGATGATGAAACCTTAGTTCCTGGGTGGCTATGGATTTACCCATAGTATGAAATAGTGGCTGAGCTGTCAGTCGTGAGAGATAGAGGTTACCTAGGAATTTAATAGATCCAACAGCGGGAGAGCTGACTCACTGGATCCCTGGCTGCTTTTACCCATGTTGGCTAAAGTGAGGGGTAAGTGCAGCCCCAGTGATACCCTGGGGTTTTTTCCTCTCTTCTCCAGATGGGAGCTTTCGGTGGGTCAAAAGCAATAAAAATAAGTTTTGTGAAAGAGCACTTTAAAACTGAGGTTTTTGACATAGCTAAAATGGCTGGCACAGGTCTGAATCAGACTTCATTTTGTGTTAGGCCCCTGCTTCTCCTTTTTAGAATACATGACCCATGACCACACTCTTGACCAAGATTACTTGTTCTGCAACATTCTGAGGTGGCCCACCCAAACTGTTGGAGGAACCAGCTCCAAAAGAACCCAGGAAACAGAGGCTGAGGCTGAGCACCCCAGCCAATAGGATTTCTTGGTAAATGAGTCTTACAGATCATGTTGAATATCAGCCAATCAAATATACACCCCATACTCTTTCCCAACACTGTACAGAGTTCTGCAAAATTGAGTATAAAGGACGTGTGCTAATGCTCCCTCTTGGAACGCCATTTTGAACTTTCATTTTGGTGCTTCTTGATCTGCAAATCTTTGAATAAAACTCTTATTTTACAGAAACTGTTTTTCGTTTTTAAGTTTGTAGCTGCTCTCTCCTCCAGGTGGGAGGGCAGAGGGTCCAGAATTCTCGGAAGATGGGCTTTGAGCAGACCAAAAACTTAAAAGTTTGCATTGATCTCTCCTCCCAGTAGAAGAAAAAAAGATTAAATCTGTTCCCAAGGTGTCTTAATTACCTAGTGCTGCTGTAACAGAAATACCACAAGTGGGTGGCTTTAGCAAACAGAAATTTATTTTCCCACAGTTTAGGAGGCTAGAAGTCCGAATTCAGGGCATCTGCTCCATAGGGTCACTATAAGTCAGAATTGACTCGACGGCAATGAGCTTTTTTGGGTTTTTGACTCTAGGGGAAGTCTTTCTCTGTCGGCCGTGCGTCCTTGTCTCTTGAGTTTCTATTCTTGGCAATCATCTGGCAAGTATCTGTCTTCCCCCAACTAAAAAAAAACAACCAAACCCGTTGCCATCGAGCCAATTCCAACTCACATAAGAGACAGCGTAGAACTGCCCCACAGGGTTTCCAAGCAGCCGCTGGTAGATTCAAACTGCTCAGTTTTTGATTAGAAGCCGAACTCTTAATCACTATACCACCAGGGTTCCTTCAACCACTGCTTGCTTAATCTGTTCTTTCGTATCTCAGAAGAGATTGGTTTAAGCTACACCCTACACTAATATTGCCACATTAACAAAAAACCCGTTCCCAAATCAGTGATTAAGAGCTTGGCTGCTAACCAAAAGGTCAGCAGTTAAATCCACCAGCCACTCCTTGGAAACCCTATGGGGCAGTTCTACTCTGACCTGTACGGTCGCTATGAGACGGAATCGACTTGATGGCAATGGGTTTTTGATTTTGGGGGGACGCTATTCAATCCACAACACAGGCCCAGATGAAAGTTTTAGATAATGAGAAAAACAAAAAGTAGAAATAACATTCCAGCCATGTCTTTAGCTTAGCTGCTGCCCCACTCCTTGCCGGAGCCCCACCTTCCTTCCGTTGGGGATCCCCTGGGCAGCTGTGATGTTAACCCAGTAAGTGCTGACTTAGTGCTCAGGGTTTGAGTACACTGGCTTGAGTAAAAGAAAAAAAAATTGAAAAATGGCTTTGTATTTTATGGCTATTGCATCTGGATGTATGACAAAAAAAATATGCTTGTAATTTCATAAATACTAGATGTGTCACCCCATCAGGGGAAGCTACAAAAGAAAAAAAAAATGTTAGTGGAACACAGCCCCCTTGCTTTTTGCTGCTGCTGAGAGGATTGGAGCTGAGTGGATTGGAACTTAAACTCTCCTTGAGGACTGAAAACAGAACAAGTCTCCACGAGTGATGATTTTTGCCTATTGGAACATCTGGAAAAGGGAGACACTGCAAAAAGAGAGGCCTTCCCAGATAGACAAACACTTTTGGAGTTTTGATAAACAGATTTGAGTTTGCTACCAAGCCCTTGCTAAATTCAAATGGCTGACTTCTGTTATTGTCCTTACGTGCGGTTGGGTCAATTCCGACTCATGGTGACCCTACAGGACAGAGTAGAACTGCCCCATAGGGTTTCCAAGGAGTGGCTGGTGGATTTGAACTGTTGACCTGCTGGTTAGCAGCCAAGCTCTTAACCACTGTGCTACCAGGGCTCTGCCTAACCTTTAGGGGCTGCTGGTTTTCCAGCTGACAAGGAAAAGGGAGCTGAGGAAAGTCTTGCTTGTCACTTGGACTTGGAACACAACCCATCTTGCTGTTTGGAGTTCTGCATTCACAGATCCTAATTGCCTGGGCCTGACTCTAGGCTGAAAGCTGAGAGAGAGACGGTGTGCTCTGGGCTGTGCTGAGCTGAAAGCAGGCATAGGCTCAAAGAACAGAATTTCCACGCTGGGGCCTTTGCAGGTTGAAGACACCCCTCTGTGGGGCCCTGAGCTATGAAGTGGCTGGACCATCTGGTCACATACAAATGCCCACAAGAGAGGGCTTGTTCCTTCTGGGACCTTCTGAAACCTAGCTGCAGATCAGCTGGATATTTCCCTGCGTCGCCGACTCCTGACTTGTGACAGTTGCCAAAAGCTACTGGTTGGGGAAGCGAGGGTCACAGAGAGTGTGACCCTCCACCCACTCCTGCACTGGCCCTCCTCTTGGGGACGTCCAGCTGCTGTTGACTTGCATTTGGATTTTTAGGTTAGTTACGATTCGCAACAAAGGTTTGATACCCTGCGTCGACTTCCCTCACCTTCCTCCTGGTTTGCTGTGGTTAGCTGCCATTGAGTCGGTCCAGACTCATGGTGACCCCATGTGACACGCTGCCTAGTCCTGTGCCATCCCCATGATCGGTTACGGATCCAACTGTTGTGATCCATAGGGTTTTTATTGGATGATTCTCAGAAGTCGACAGCCAGATCTTTCTTCCTAGACCAGAAGCCCTGCTGAAAACTGTTCAGCATCATAGCTACACACAAGCGTCCACTGACAGGCAGGTGGTGGCTGTGCATG